GGCCGGGCTTCCACTCCCTGCGGCAGCCCAGCTACGAGCAGGTAAGCAGCTCGGCCGACCTCCCGGCACCTTTCTCAGGGCGGACACAAACACTGGGGGCGGGCTCCTTCGCCTGTCAGGAGAGCGCTGAGCTGGTGTTGTCACAGGAACTTTGGTGTCAGCCTCCCGTGTGATTAAAGCCTGCTGTCAGCCAGGGCTGCGCGATACGCAGCGGCTTGTTGTTAGAGATGCTTGTGGAAGAGAAGTAGGTCTGAAAAAACTGCTCAGCAGCATGAGGCAGATTGGGTACCTCATCTGTCATACTGTTTTTGGTGTGACCCAGGTGACTTCCTCATGCTCTTCCCCTTGAGGTCATATTCATTTCAGATTAACTGCATTTGATGAGTCACATCTGCACTGCTTGCTTGGTGGCACATTTCTGTGCCCTACAGGGTTAGTGAAATTAAATGGTGTTGAGAGGGGAAAGCTAGGTGTAAAAATAAGCTCGAATGTAATAGAAAGTGCAAGACTTTCCAGCACTAGAGTTAAAGCTGAATATTTCTTCCGGTACTGGTCTTGGAGTGTTAGTAGTGTTGTGAAACTACATCCTCATTTCTAATGAGAATTTTTATTTTTTAGCTAAAAGAAGAGAATGCCAGTTTGAGAAGCAAGATCAATAAGCTTCAGATTTTCTCTGAAACTCAAGCAGACAAGTGCGTAAGCCACAGTATGGGGGAAAGTAACCACATAAGCAAGGAGTTGTCTTAGAAGAGGTGCTCACTGGAAACAGTCAACGTCTTTAAAGAAGAAAAATGTAGTTGAAATCTATGCTATTTATTAAAAAGCTTTAACAAACCTGGTTTTCTTATTGAAAAAGGCTTGGAAAGTAAGTAGCAAGCTGACATCTGATGAGTGTGCTTGTGTGGCTTACGCTTTGTGCAGTTTAGTGGTTAGTGAAAATGAGGGTAGGGCTCGACAGGATGTATTTTCATAAAGCTTCAGATTAACAAAATAATGAGTTTTAGACTCCTTTGAAGCAAGAAAAGCATTTTTATTTTTGCTGGTGAGCAACTTGATATTGGGAGACTTGAATTTCCGGAGGTTAAACAACCCAATGACTGATCCAGGGTGGCAATTTCTTAAATTCCTGTCTGAATCCTCTGCACCGTGCTGCTTCTCTCAGTGAGGCAGCTGGTACTTCCATGGTATGGGGTAACCGTTTGTTTCAGAATTCCCCTTACCTAGGCTGATTGTGAACGGCTGTGGTTTCTGTACTGCCTTTCTGCATTTGGCTGTATAGCTGTATAGATCCAGTTGATGCTAATAGCTGTTGCACAAAGAAATCCCCTGAGCTACAGCCTAGAAGTGTACTTCTGTGGGAAGACTTAATTTTTCTTATAATGTGAAAGAATGAGTTTCTTGATCCTCCTGTAGAATTTTCTGACAAAGGTATTTAATGCTACAGGTGCTTACTGAACATTGTCTCTTGTTTTCTAAGGATGAGGAAGCTTGAAAGACAGCTTGAGGAAAACAAAATTAAAGAAGAAAAAGAAGCACAGGATTTGGAAGCAATGGTGCAGCACGTGGAACAAAATCTCCAGCTGATGACTGTAAGTGTTGGTGTTTGCTGTAGTAGCAGAAGCTCATCCGTGGTTGCAACCTTTTCCTTCCTCCCTCAGGAGAGTGAGGGAAGCTGAAGTGATTGCTTCATCCGTGTGAGCACTAAACAGCTCTGACCTGGGTTCAGATTCTTCCCTTATAACCAGACCGTGTCCCAGCCTAGAACTCCTTTTGTTACCTAGAGTAAGGGAGGTCTTTGCGGAAATACCATTTTTTGATTTATCGACACCTTCAGTTGCTTTTTTGCAGCCTTCTGAAAACACCTCCTGTATGACCTAAGAGCCGTTTTTCCTGCTTGCTTATTTATACTGAGTACCTTTTCCTCTTGTCCATGAAAAAAAAGAAATAATGAAAGATACCTGAAAGGAAAAATGTGGAGGAAACAGCTGATGAGACATGACTGGGGGCTCTATCCCCATCTCATAATGCATTCGGAAGAAGAAGCCGTGCAACACAACCCGTATCTCTTCAGGTTATACGCTGAAAAAACATTCCTGCGTAGCTCAAACTGCCTTCTGTGTCTTAAGTGCTGCTGTGGTATAAATAATCCTTATTCTATTTCAGAAACGGGCTGTTAAAGCAGAAAACAGTGCTACAAAACTGAAACAGGAAAATGCCTTACTTCAGGTACAAAGTTCTTATTCTTAAGGCCTTGCTGCGCGTACTGGGGCTGAAAACATGCACCTTGAAATTCATCCTATAAAAAGAGTATTGAAAATTTTTAACTACGCCTTGCTTTTTCTAGCGGGTGCTGTAGAAGATGTTCTAGACCAGAAAATTTCAGTTCTATGCGCACTGTTAACTTCACCTCTGCCATGCGGGGTACTTTGCTTACTGTTACGCTGAAGCGTCGCAGGATGTTCAAATGCTGTTCGATATTTGGGACCTATGAATGCCCTAATGCAAGGGCAAGCGGGAGGGTGCCTGACAGGGAAGGGAAAGAACCTGGAGAGATATTTCAGATAGCTCAGCAGAGCCTGGCAGTGGTAGGTGGTATCATTGCTGTCAGGTAACAGCTTCCATCCCCACTGTCGGAGTTAGAATACACCACTCTGCAATCACAGAATCATAGAATTGTTTGGGTTGGAAAAGCCCTTTAAGATCATCAAGCCCAACCATTCCCCTAACCCTGCCATCCCACCACTAAACCACGCCCTTAAGCACGTCGTCTGCCCAGCTTTTAAATACTCCCAGGGATAGGGACTCGACCCCTTCCCTGGGCAGCCCCTTCCAGGGCTTGACAGCCCTTTCGGGGAAGGAATTTTTCCCAATGTCCAACCTAAACCTGCCCTGGCACAACTTGAGCCTTGTTCCATCGCCCGTTCCCTGGGAGCAGAGCCTGACCCCCCCCCCCGGGCCCCCCCCCCTGTACGGCCGTGTGAGGCACG